CTGGGGATTCGAACCCGCCACCTTAGGTGTACGTGGCTGGCGCCTTAGCCGGTTGAGCTATAGGCGCCGAGCCGTACATTTGTCTTTTTAATGGCTGCGTAAGATTCAATTGTTTGGATATTTTCTTATAATTATTTCTTTATTTCTTTTCTTTTATTTATTTATTTATTTTTGAGACTGAGTCTCACTATGTTGCCTTCAGTCGAGTGCCATAGTGTCACATCTCACAGCAACCTCAAACTCCGGGGCTTCCACGATTCTCTTGCCTCAGCCTCCCAAGTAGCTGGGACCACAGGCGCCCACCACAATGCCTGGCTATTTTTTGTTGTTGTTGCAGTTGTCATTGTTGTTTAGCAGGCCCAGGCCAGATTCGAACCCGCCAACCCTGGTGTATGTGGCCAGTGCCCTACTGAGCTATGGGTACTGAGCCTATAAATTAATTGTTATCTACTGATTAAAAATTAATGTTGTGATTATAAACACAGGTGCTGTAAACATTCTGGAATAGACTGCTATGCAGAGGTGTATCTATAGAATAAGTTCTTAGAGGTAGAGGCTTGGTAGAGGTAGAGACCTGGAAACGTCCTCTTTGGAGTGTGTGTGTGTTTGGAAAGAGACTCTGAGGTCTGGCTGCCTAGGCCCATAAACCCTGCTTTCTTCCTTGGGAGTGCTGTGATCTTGGGAAAATTACTTAAATTTCTTTGTCTTGTTTTTTGAATGGGTAAACACGGAAAAATAATCATATCCCCTTTCTCCTAGGGTTGTGAGGATTAAATGAATTCATCTTTCTGAGATTCATGTCTGATGCTAAACACTAAATAACCACTGTATGTTGGTGTTATTATTCTAGGACAGAAGGAGCAACCACACTAGTCAAGAAACTGTTCTCAGCACATCAGTGCTGGGAGTCCGGTTAGCGCAGACATGTTCCTCTGAGCAGCCCCTTGAGGGAGGTGAGATGGTGCCCATGGCAGAGCAGACAGCCTGGGGCCTCTGCAGATCTGAGGGCTCTGAGCCTTCTTACCCAGTGGTCTGCTGCATGTAGCTACTTGCAAGCTGTGTAGGGTTTTATTTGCTTTTTAAAAATTCATTTTCATTTGTATATTTGTATGTGCTTATGAGGTATAAAAGGGATTTTGCCATGTTGATGAATACATTGCGGTGAAGTCAGAGCCTTCAGCACATCTATCACCCAGCAAGTGACCTCCAGCCCCCATGCACCACTCTGCCCCTCCAAGCCTCCCTTGTCCATCATTCCATGCTATGCTTCCACGTGTACGCATTATTGGGCTCCCACTTATAAATGAGAATGTGTGGTATTTGCTTTCTAAGCCTGAGTTGTTTCACTCAAGGTAATGACTTCCCGGTTCTTCCTTGTCACTTCAAAAGACACAATTTCATTCTTTTCATACAGCTGAATAGTACTCCGGTGCGTATATGTACCACATTTTCTTATCCAATCCTCTATTGATGGACACTTAGGCTGATTGCTTATCTCTGCTATTGTGAGTAGTGCAGGCTGTGCTGTTAACTGTTGTCTCTCCAGCTCCAGACAAGGCTTGGCGTGTAGTTGAACGAACAAATGAATGAGTGAATGAACCCACTTTTAAGAATTGACTTTTCTTTAATCCTTTCTTGTTATCTCCAAGCTTCCAGTGATGGCTTGTGACCCATCGCAGCTTAGCTTTATTGTAAACATGCTTGGTGGTACATAGCACGTAGGGCCCTGACTGAGTGAACTGGAGCCACCAGGGTGGACAGAGACAAAATGCAGAGGTGGCCAGGAACAGGTGGTAAGGAAGCCTAGGAGAAGCTTGGGCTTCCTGTTCCCCTGTGGGTGGGAGATTTGGGTGGCTTACACTTGGGCATTGAAGAAGAATGGGTTCTCAACCCCAGGAAGGCTGGCTCGTGCAGGGTCTGCTACTCAGTAACATCTGTGAGTGGCAGCTTTCTAATTATATTCTATTTCTAACTTTTGATAAAAACTAAGATAAAGTGTGCATTGGATGCCATTGTCCCTCTTTTTAAAGCCATACCCCCCCTTCATGTATTATGGATATCATTGTATTATGGATGTGGGTGCCCACATAGACTAATATTCTCAGTGTGGCTGTTACCTAATGAATGAGACTCAGAGATAGGATAGCAGATAGGATAGCAGAGATCCTGGACTTGTGGCCAGCCTTTCTCAGTGGCACAACTTTGCCTAAGTCACCTGCAATTTCAAAGCATCTTGTTTCTGCCTCTGTAAAGCAGACAGTAGTGTCATAATAACTACCACCTGTCTGGGCTTAAGAATATCTTGACATTAAGTTAAAATAGAGAGCAAAAAGACAAATTACAGTAGGTGAGATGCCCTGAAATCTTGACCTAAGATCACTCTCAGTGGTAAAACCATTGTGGTGTTAGATTTCTACGTAATATTCCTACCAGATGCTTAGCTAAGGAAAAATCTTGATATTGAATTGTCTGAGAATATGGTTCCAGTTTGTTATTATTTTTTACCATCCACATAATAATGCATCGAAAAACAGAAGATCTATGTTCAAAACGGGGTTACTGTCTGAAATTGGGTAATCTATGCAAGAGAGAGACCCCTCCTTCACGCAGGCTCCTTTTATTGCTGGTGTTAAAACTGGTCAAGACCTTAGCAGGGATAGAAAAAAAAAATTAACAGAGGACCCTGTATACTTATCAGATGGGGAAGGATGGATTCTGAAAGCAGGCAGCTTGTTTGGGGGGAAGAGTGAGGATAATCGTCAAACTCAAGCACGGATCTCTCTAGAAGGAGTCAAGTCTCCCTCCTATTTTAATAATGAAACAGCTGCTAAGGTTGTGGCCCTCTAGGGGTCTTCATTTGTGATGGGTAAGCTGGGTCGGTTTTGTTTTGTTTGGGAAATAAATATTTGAATGGGGTAACCGAAGAAGGGTTTTGCCACTCTTATGATGCTATTGATACGCAGGCTGACGCTATTATGGCGGATGCAACATGCTACATTATCTTTATGCCTCCAGGGTAACCTGAAGCAACTGTCTATTCACTTGGCACTCACTACCTTACACTGAAGCGTCTGCCCTGCCTGGGGACGGTAACTGGAGCCAACCGCAGACAGCTCGCCTTAGCCTCTGACAGCCCTAAGGAAGGAAGAGCGGGGAGGTGCCTGGGATGGAGGCTTCTGGAGGGGGCCTGGCTGCTGAGTGACTATCGGGCAGGGTGGTCTTCAATCTTCTCAACTTCTCCTTAGAGGCAACCCGTAGCAGCTCCGTCTTTCGAGACAAGGATGTAGTTTGTATGCAGGAACTGGAGGCGATTTGGACCCTTGGAAAACTCCCTTTTCCCCTGTGAACTTGGCGATGCGTCCCCGCGGGCCATGTCCACGTGGAAAGCGAGGCTCACGCAGACACTGAAAGCCCCGTCTGGAAGGATGCACCCGTTCCCATGCTCAGCTCTGCTCGCTTGTTTTGGGAACACGAGGGAGAATGCTGCGTTTGATCAGCCCAGCCCGGCCGACACTCACTCCACTGTCTATGCTCAGCCTGTGGCCAAAGCGGGCAGACACCCAAGTCACCCGAGAGTGGAAGAAGGAGCGCCAGAGAAAAGGCGAGATTCCGGCACCTGCGCAGAGAGAAATGGTGGTACGAATCGCAAGTCAAGGAAGCACACTGCCGACCAGCCAGCTGAGACACCCGAGGACCTGCCCACGTCCCTGGGTGGCGAAGGGGACTGTGAAGCCGTCGCTTTCCAGACTGCCATCCCCAGACCGTCAATCATTGATATGCCAAAGGTGAGGCTGCTGTTTGGGATGGGGTGGAGTTGGGAGAGGGTCTGGTCGTCTGCAGGACGCTTCTGCAAATAAACCCGTTACCCCCTCAACCTGGTGTTAACTAAGACATCTCGAGGAGCTCTTACTAGTGAGAGGAAGTGTAGAAAGCTTCTCGATGCTCAGAGTGTGCTCAAAAGATAGAGAGGGAAGCCGTGATATTAAGCTCTGAAGCCACAGCACTGGCCGAAATTGACCTTGGATTAACTGGCTATGGTGCCTGGGAGCTAACAAGTGGGGCAGTAAAACAAACCTAAGTAATAGAGTCTGGGGAAACATTTTTTCTTTTTTTGTTTTTTAACTCAATCTGTCAATTTATGTATCCCCAAACCCACCATATGAAAAGTTTGATTATAGAATTTAGGAAATTACCACTTCTTAAAAGAAATGAGGGGAAAAATTTGGAAATGCGAATCAGTATACACATAGCAGAACAGAAAGGAACTGACCTGTATAAATAAAACTGTTCTCAATATAAGTTTTCGTGATAGTTTTCTGAGAGTTGAAGATAGGAAGAGAAAGTTATTTGATTTTTTCCTTTTGTGTGTGTGTGTGTGTGTGTGTGTGTGTTTAGCAGGGTCTGGCCAGCTTTGAACCCATCTCCACTTGTACATAGGCCTGGTGCTTTAACCACTGGGGTACAGGCATACAGCCCAGTTATTTGAAAGCCTAATGCTTTAAAGGGCAGCATCTTGAATTATTTATTTTCTTTCTTTCTTTCTTTCTTTCTTTCTTTCTTTCTTTTTTTGGCATTACTGAATTATAATCGTTGAATATTCCTATTGGATTGAACTGCACAGTTATTGCAAAGTTCCTTGTAATCCCAACGTGGAGAGGCAGGGTTTCTTGAGGGATATACTTGGAAGATGCTGCTTGAGCAATTTTTTTTTGGTCGTTTCCTGGCCAAGTAGCTGAGGACCAGACTTAAAAAGCTGAGAGGTTTTGGGGGATCTTGTGCTAAAATATTCTGATTTAAAAAAATAATTTTATCTCCTCTACTTTAATAAGTCAATTTTTGGTCTGACTTGTTTTAAATCTAAGAAGCCTCATTAGCCCTGAAAACTGCCAAACAGTAAAGATAGGGTCAAAACATAATTTCAAAAATAATTTCATCTGATACTCTGTAGGTTTGATTTAAATGATTGTTTTCACAAAATCCTCTTTATAGCAACAACTAATTTTTTTTGCACCACTAAATCAAAACTCCAAACCAACCAACGAACCCCAAACATTTGTTGTTTGATTTTCAGTGTATACCCACCGCCTCCAGATTAAGATATTTTTAATAGTACTGTAAGTTAGCTGATTGAAATTCATGGCCAAGTTTATATTTGTTGAATAGTCAAAGAACTAATGATGTATCATTCTAAGGAGCCAGAAGACTTTCTCTTGTGTAGAGATTCCAGCAACCTGAGACCTCCTTTATATTACTGAAGATCACAGCAGGGAGGACGGGTTGATTTTATCTTTTTTTATTGTTTTGTTGTTGTTGCAGTTTTTGGCTGGGCCTGGGTTTGAACCCTCCACCTCTGGTATATGGGCCGGTGCCCTACTCCTTGAGCCACAGGTGCCACTTAGTTGATTTTATCTTTGTGATTTAGAGGCAAATGTGACATAGCGCTAAAGGCAGGGATGTGTGTTCATGGAGCCAGTAACTCTCATGGGGCAGCAGCCACAGTTAGGAATCACTTGGCAAGTGGACTGCTGGGTAGGATGCCTGAGAATCAGGAAGGCTGGAGTGTGGAGGCCACTGGAATAATCCCAACACAGGAAGACTAGGTGGGCGCCGTGGGGCAGCAAATGCCACAGTTGACTATAGGAGTTTCAAACTGGGTAGGGAGGGGTCAGACCAGACTGGGTGTGTTGGAATGAAATACTGGCATCAAGTGCCTGGGTGTGCAGGAAGAGGACATTCTGTGAGTGCAGTAAAGGGGCATCTCTTCTAGTTCAATGCCAAGAGCCAAACCTGTCCGGAGCACCTGTGGGCCCCAGCCATTCCTCTAAGTGCTTTCCATGGAGTATCTCATCAAAGCCTGGTCACAGTGAGGGGCATGTTCTTACAATCCCATTTTACAAAGGAGGACATTGATACTTAGAGAGGGTCAGACACCTGCCCAAGGCCACAAAGAAAATGTGGCAGAGACAGGATTGGAACCCAGTTTTGCTTCATTCCAAAGTCCTTCCTCTGAATTATAATGTGCTCTTGCTGCTAATTGTGTAGTGTTTGAGGATTTACAATGAAATATTCCCATGTGATCTCACTTGATATGCAGATTTAAATTCCATATGCATCGGTGTATTTATCTCTCTATGTAAGTGTATGTAGGTAGATAATAATTTGTTATTGATTCCTTTTGGTTTTTCTACCCTATCTTTATAGTGTAGAGCAGCACAGAAAGGGATGCTTTCCATTTTGCATCCTGCTAGGGACAAAGCTTTGCTGGCAACAGTGTGGAAGCTGCTTTGAGAGCTTCTGATTAAAAGGGCTGTAGGACTGCCCAGATTTGTCATTGCCAAGTAATTTTGCAGGGCATGTTTTCCCCCAGCAGATGATGAATGAGATGCTTTTATTACAATCTTGCCTGGCGGCAAAAATATTTCCCCTTTGGATACACCGATCTTCATCATTTAAGCTGCCTTGGTGGAGGCCACAAATAATAACTTTTTCTTTTTTCTTTAAGTTTAGCCTCAGAACATAATTATAGCTAAGACATAGGGACAAGTCCCTCTATCCATCTTTAGCTACCTGGCATTCGGAAAAGAGCATAGCCCATTTAAATTTGAAACAGCATCTGGTTGGAGAGAAAAAGCTGGAGGTAGTGAACTAAGTAAAAATGAAAGATTGTTTTGTTTTGTGGAAATGCAGGTGTACCTGTCTGTATTTAAAAGTGATACAGTTAGTCTTCAACCTTTTTGTGGTCATGTCTTCCCTGCTTCAGGTCTAAAGTCACGGTGATAAACAACTCTACATGGGGATGTGTTTCATAATGTTTATGATTCCTTTTCTCCCACTAAGTGGTTGTTCAGTGGAAGTATCTAATACGGCGGAATTGTAGAATCAATGGAGAACAACAGTATTGCTGTTTACTGTTTCAGCCAAGAGTGTTTTATGCTCTGACTTGGCAGGGACAGCGCTGGCCCTGGGGGAATGCTGATGATGGAGATGCAGCACCTGAGGCTGCTTACGTTCCAGTGGGACATACAGTAGGGTAAACAGGCAGTATCAGTGCAGTTTGAGAAGCCTTATGGGTTAGCGATGGATGCCATGTGAACACAGGAGATTCCTGGCTGAGCCTTGGAAAGACAGGGGAGGCTGGAATGCACAAAGGAGAAGGATTTCAACATTACTCTTTTTTTTAAATTATTATTTCTTATAGCATAACTGTGTATTAATGCCATCATGGGGTACAGTGTGCTGTTTTCATATACATTTTGAAATGCTCTCATCAAACTGGTCAACATAACCTTCATGTCATTTTCTTAGTTATTGAGTTAAAACATTCATACTCTGCTTTTAGAAAGATTCACTTGCATTCTTGCAAGATAAACCATAGAGGTAACCCCACCAATCACCCTCCCTCCCCCCATCCACCCCCCTCACTTCCCCTTCCACCCCCTTCCCATATTCTAAGGCTATAATTAGGTTATGACATTCCTATAAAAGCTATGAATTAGTTTCAAAGTAGGGCTGTGTACATTGGATACTTTTTCTTCCATTCTTGAGACACTTTGCTAAGAAGAACATTTTCCAATTCCATCCATATAAACATGAAGGAGGTAAAGTCTCCATCTTAACGTTATTCTTTTACCTGCACATCAGATCCAGCATCGCAGCTTTCCTAGTTCAGCATTGTTTTCTCTCCCCTCTCTCTCAATGGTAGAGGTAGTTTAGGAAAGATAAAATTCACACCCTGAGTAACTAAATAAAGGCATCAGAGTAGTTTGATAGTTTGAAAAAGTCTTTCTATGGCAGCTGTTTTAGTTCTTACTCCAACTGAGAGTAGCCAGCTTGACACAGGAAGGGACAAGAATTGTGGTTTGGGAAATCATCTCCAGTACTTTTTTCTTTTTTTTTTTTTTTGAGAGAGAGACTCTTACTTTGTCACCCTAGGTAGAGTGTCATGGTGTCATAGCTCACAGCAAGCTCAAACTCCTGGGCTCAAATGATCCTCTTGCCTCAGCTTCCCAAGTAGCTAGGACTATAGGTGTCCACTACATCCAGCTTTAGAGACAGAGTCTCCCTCTAGGTCAAGCTGGTCTTGAACGCCTAAGCTCAGGCAACTCCTCAGCTCTGCCTTGGCCTCTCAGAGTTTTTTTTAACAAAATGTTAGTTGTATGAAAATGAAGGGGAACAGGGACCATCTTGGAGTGAATAGCTACATTGCTTTTTGGAATGGGCTGGTTTTGTAGTTTGGCAGAAGTGGGATATCAAGCCACCCCCAGCCCCTCTCTGGTGGCCTGGATGAAGATTCACAGGCTCAGGTGGTCACTGTTCTCCAGAGCCTAGGCCTCAGCTTTTCCATCTGGAAACGTGGTTTTGTCAGTCATCTTTCTCTGAGAGATGATCTCTTGACACCCATGCTTACAAAGGCCTGGTGTGTAAGGCAGAATGCCTTCGTAGCGGAAAGAATTGGCTAGAATTCTTGCCATTAGAAAATCACATGTAAAGAGAAACGAGAATCAAATATTTGTTGGAAAGCATGGGCCCAGAGGAAGAAGCACCATATATATTTTATTGCCCTAAAGTATGCTTAATGCAAAATTTACCATTTTAACTTTTTTTTAGCATACAGTTCTATGACACTCAGCACATTCCAGCTGTCACACAACAGTCACCACGGTCCATCTATTGAACATTTTTTATCTTCTCTAGCTGGAATTCTGCACCCGTTAAATAGTAACCCCACAATCCCCGCTCCCTCTGTCCTCCAGCCTCTGACAACCACCATTCTGCTTTCTGTCTC